TGGAGAGGAGGGACGGTGCTGGAGGGTGCAGGAGGGATGGGGGGGTGCAGGGAGGGTGAGGGGTGGAGGGTAGCACCGCTGCCCAGGGACCCGTCACAGGGCGTCCGTCCCCTCGGCGTGGGCTCACGCCTCCTGCACCCCAAGATCCGGCCTTTGCCAGGGCCCCCCTAGTCACTGCCCCGGTGAAAGCGGTCACGGGGAGCAAATGATGCTGCTGAGCACTTGGATATCACAGAGTTCCTGCCCGGGACGCAGGGTTATCTCTGGCCGATGAATTCCACCCTAAACGTGCCCCGTAACTGGGGCGTAGCGGTGCTTAGCGGCCGTATTGACTAGGAGCGAGCTTACAGCAGCCCGTCCACCTGGCCGCAGGAACGCGCGCTATTCCGTTTCCCCGATAGCATCCCTGCGTCAGCCCAGTCCGTGCGTTAGGTCCCTCGCCGGGCTTGTAGGAGCGCGTGGGGTCAGCCCAGCCTGCCGGCCCAGTTCAGCGCTGGGGCCAAGGCAGGGAAGAGGAGCCGGGCTTGGCCGCGATGCCCAGCAGCACCCGAGATTTGCCCCTTTGCAGTGGGAGAGCTGGGCTCTTCGGGTCGCTGCCGGGGTCATCGCCCAGGCCACTTGCGCAGCACCAAGATGACCGCAGGCCTGGGATCATTAACCACAGACACGTGTTGACTTAATCATTACCAGCACATTTACACTTGCAACCCTGTTTCCAAAGCAATTCCCCTCTCCTTCCTCCGTGGAGACCTGGCTTGGTGGCTCCTCCGCCCGCGCCGGCCCGGCCAGCCCCAGCTCCGCTCCTGGGTTAACAGAAAAAAGCAGCGTGCAAATAATCAGATTTAAAAGCACCTCGGTGGGAACTGCTCAGTACGCAGAGGTGCCTCCCTGTAGCTCATGCGATGGTCCCCATGGAACCGTTTTGGGGCCACGCCGACTTAAGCAAGTCAAGCCTCATTTAAAGGAAACGATAATGTTTCACCAGTTAGTTCCGTCCCTAATGAGCAAACCCGGCAATGCCTCACGCTCTGCACGGAGCACACCGGCTGGAGGCACGCCAGCAAGCGGCAGCGTCTCCTCTCAGCCTCCTCCAGGCAACGCTGACGCTCGCTGGGCTTGTTAGCGAAGGAGAGCAAAATATTTCTGCAAAACACAAAGCTCCCGTAGCAAACTTTGCTTTCTGTGGGAGCCGAGTTTCTGCTGGGAAACTGTTACAGCAGAAAATTCCCCATCAGCTGTAAATTTGTCCAAGATCTGGTGTTGATTTGGGCTGGAAAACGCTCGGTTTCGAAGTTGTGAGGTTCAACTTTGCAAATCCCGAGTGCGAAAGAGGAGCAGCGCTAATCAGGCAGGCAGATGCAAAGTCACAGGCGGAGCGAGGGAGCGTGCCGGCCGCGGGACAGCCCGTCCTCCAGCAGCAGCGACCTGTGCGAGGGCTTACAGGCCAGAGCAGCCATCGCTGCGCGGCTGCGGAGCCCGCGGGTGCTTCTCACCGAGCGGGGAAGCCGTTCCCGAACAATTTGATTTTAAATAACATTTCTGTGCTCCGCTCCAGAGCCCCGGCGAAGCGAGAGGCTGCTTTTGGCTTTGCTGCAGGCGACACAAGGCGTTGGGAGCGTTGGGAGCCCTGGGCTGGTGCCCCTCTGCCTGGGGTCTCAAGCAGGTCGCTTCGTCCGGCCGTGCCTCAGTTTCCCGAGCTGTGACCTGAAGGTTACACTCATCTTTGGGAGGAAAAGGGCAGTTTCTCGGGACACAGGGATGCTGGTCTGCAGGCTGCCCCCAGGCAGGACGCAGCCCCTCTCCCCGCGACGCCGTTAGCCGCCGTCTCCTCGTGGCTGAGCTGGCCCGGCCCCACTGGGCGCCGGTTTCATTAGGGGACCCGCTCACGTCCCAGGGACCTTTCCCACGTTGGGCCTGTCACACTGAATTACTGCTCCGCTTCTCAGCGCTGCGCTCAATAGTCTAAGCCAGCTCCAAACAAAGTCCTTCTCCTCCCCGCTAATCCCCCCCGACTCAGGTAATTAATAAAACAAAGCGGCTGCTCCTCCCCGCCAGCAGCGAGGAGCGGGAGAGGGGCCAGGGGCTATTAACGGCTGCCCCC